TGCAGCATCTTTATTACAAATATACCATGTAATATTTATCTAAACGATTTATGACGGTCACAGTTAGGGGTTGAAAATTAGCAAAGCCATCAAGGATCACATTCCATGCAAGACACCATTGGTGTACTCCAAATCTCTCATTCAATACTGCAAAGGACTAAAGATTGACTGTTTATTCCAGTATTTGTGTGTGTCTGTCTGTCTATCTATCTTTCTATCTTTGTTTTAATAATATTTCTCACTGTAGATGGTGTCGGACGGTCCCACAAGCTTGTTCTGCAGTGCCAGTTTTGCAAGAGGAAAGGCACTGCCCAAACATTCCCACGCTCCAAACGCTTCTGCTCCAAATCCTGTGCCAAGAGGTACACCTCCCTTACATGACATAAATAACACATTGACAGAGTAAAACAAACAACCTGTTTTTATGACTGACACAATAATGAACGGGTGCCTAACTTGTATTCTGGCACGTACAACTGCTCCATCAACACCCTTGCAAATGTCTCTCTTGCTTAGTGGAGTGAGAAACCACAACTGGAAGGGTCTGAGCATGATTTCCTGCATGTATCTAGAGTTCTCTTCAAGAATAACAGCAGAACGCAAGGTGTTGAAAAGGGTATTTCCATCAGCAGCTTAACAAATTAACCCCTTAATTGCCACCGGCCCACAGGTGTGCCCAATGGTGCTCTTTTTTTGTTGTCTTTTTTCCCTATCACATATTTTAGTAATCATCATAAATTATATATCATTTGAAAGCTTAAAACCTCAGAATTCATCCTGTTTGTTTGGATGGCACCCGGTGGCTGTTTGTGGTATAACGCCCTAAATAAAATCTCACAGGAACCTCAACTTCAAATTTGGAACATAACTTATTTAGACATAAGGCTTTAATTTTATATCAATGTTGGATTCAAAAAGATTTTGTAAAATATTTACTTTATATAAAATAAAATAAAAATTGGTACAGTGCATTTTCTTTACAGTAAATTTAAACTTCTATAACTTTTTGATACTTCAATATTTTGAAATGATTCCACTTCTGCAGTAATCTGCAGATTGTCTTCTTAAAAAGGAGTCCAACCTTAGGTTTGTATTCCAAAGTTTTCATGAATTATAATAATTTAAGTTTGGATAGTGCACTTTCATGTCTATATTCAAAAATGGGGGGTGGCAGCTCCCGGAACTGCTTCTGTGTACAACTGCTGGTGCAAGCTGGATTAAAGTGATTATTACGTTTTGAATATGGATATTTTTCTTACAAAAACGCATTGATTTGCTACAGGACACCTTTGTTCACCCTCTGGAGCCATGTGAGACACTTTTTTTTATGGATGGGCACTTTTTATTTCACTTCTTTGGGACTGAAGCACTGACACACCCACTGACTGCAATGATAGAGCTTGGAATAGCCAGGACAATTTTTAATATAACTCTGACTGGATTCGTCTGAAAGAAGAAAGTCATATACACCTAGGATACCTCTGGGGTGAGTAAAACACAGCCTAATTTCATTTTTGGGTGAACTAACCCTTTAAGGGGTTAAAATGCATGTTTACAGTGGCCACAAAAAGTGCTTGGACAAACCTATAAATGTATGAATGCTATTGCATTATACAACAATTATCAAACCAAGTAGAGTTTATTTTAAGTAATACAGAACAAAAAGACTTTATTTTTAGACCTTTTGAAGACTTTTTCACAAAAATGAGGGTTTGTTTGGTTTTAAACTAAATCAATAGATATACAGTTCAAATTGAACACAAATCATGTTCTGGATGTCAAACAGTAGTGGAGCAGGTTCTTAGTTAATGTGGTGAACTACACCTGTGGCTACTGTTCACCTATGTCAACTTGAGGAACTAAAAATGACACAACTTGGTCATTGCAAAAAGTGAAGTTAATTAAGAGAAAAGCTGAATCATTTGTTTGCAGATGCCACTTAGCTTGATATTTTGCATCTAATGCAATGACTTTCATACATTTTTAAACTGTACAAAAGTGTTCATATATGAAGTATGGTTGATTAGTGAATCAAGCACTAAAAACTAGTCTCTAGCATTGTCCTAAAAAGACTCACACACACATACAAACTCTGACAGGATGTGGTCATGGTTTGTGATAAACATCAACCCTTGACACACATATCGAGCTGCAAGGCTGATCTTGGTCAGTGTGTTGGGTTGACTATAAAGACAACCTTTGTTTACCTCCTCAATCTTTTTGCAGGTTCAGTTACACCAAACGTTTCCGCACGCTCAGACGCTGTGTAAGTGAGGGGGGCCATCGATCTGAGCTCAATGGTGCCGAAGAAAATTTCCACCAGGTTTGTCCAAGGCCTTTAAAACAATGTACAGTATGTGTTTGAGATCTGTGTGCTATACTAAACTCTGTTACCGTATAGGCCAAACATGGGACCACAGAGCAGTGGAGAATCCTTCAACAGCCGCCACATGAGGGGGAAGATGGGACGGCCGCTCCGATGAAGACCAGGCTCCGCAGACACACGGAACAGGAACGGGAGCGAGAGATTAGAGTCAGGCAAACGGTGGAGGAGACGAGAAGTGCTCCAACTTCACCCATAGATCCTGTGTCTCCCATTGATATCTCCCCCTACCCCAAACCAGCTCAGTGGTCTGTGGATCAAGTGTCAAGCTTCATATCCAATTTACCAGGTACAAAGAACCCCATCTATCTATCTGTCTGTCTGTCTGTCTGTATGTCTTTCTATCTCCTGTCTATCCGTCTATCTATCTGTCTGTCTGCCTATCGTCTGACTGTCTGTCTATCTATATATTTACCTATCTATCTGTCTGTCTGCTGTCCATCTGCTGTCTGTCTCTCTGTCTGTCTGTCTGTCTATCTGCTGGCTGTCTGCTGTCTGTCTGTCCATCTGCTGTCTGTGTCTTTCTTTCTATCTCCTGTCTATCTATCTGCCGTCTGTCTGTCCTGTCCTGTCCTGTCTGTCTGTCTGCTGTCTATCTTATCAGTCTGTCTGCTCTGCTGTCTATCTGTCTGTCTGTCTTTGTGCTGTCTATCTATATGTCTATCTATCTGCTGTCTGTCTGTCTTTCTATCTCCTGTCACTGTCTGTCTGTCTATCTATTTGTCGTCTGTCTGTCTGTCTGTCTATCTATTGGCCAGGCTTTCTCAGGCTAACATTAAATTTGATTTGACAAACTTTTGTGAACATTAACACTACTGTTTTAACCCACCTCAATTGTCTCAGGGTGTCAAGACATTGCAGAATCCTTCAGAGCCCAAGAGATCGACGGGCAGGCCTTGCTTCTGCTAACTGAAGACCATTTGATGAGCGCCATGAATGTCAAACTTGGCCCCGCTCTCAAAATATGCGCCCGCATCAACTCCCTGAAAGAAGGTGGAAGATAAAGAGAATGAAACAGAGACACAAAAGAAGCTAGGTATATCCTTGTGGACCATAAGAGCACTTGCCAATAGAATAGAGCCATTTTGTGCACTTTAATCTTCAGAGATTTATGCGATAATTTCATTATTATGAGAAAGCTTACATGTATTTGCTTGAACTAAACTAGCAAAACCTTACAGTTCTTGTAAACTTAGCCTCTGTCTGAAAGCATGGTAGCAATATAATGGTCTCAGTCTGTGAGCGTTTTACAGGATGTATATTTAATTGCAGTAGGAGGGAACTGTTAGCGTCTCCTTTTTTTGTATGGGTAATCATGATCAGGGTCAGTGATTTTATATTTTTGGCTGAGAGCAAAGGAGATCACTTCCTGTGTCGGTGCGGAGAGGTTTGACAAGAACGGAAGTGCTGTTATTGTGTGCATGTCCCATTGTATATATTTTCCTATCGTATTCCATATGTATACATGTATAACAATGCAGTGTTCTGTGTGTATAAATTAAAAAAATGTTTTGTGAAGGATTTGTAATATTTAATATATTTGTCTTCTAAGGCTCTAGAAAGTACAAATGCGAATCATTTCAAGTTTATAAACATTTTTAAATGACGTTTGCGATACTGACATAAATGACATTTTGTGAAATCTCCGCAGTGGTACTGTGTAAATCAGACAGACTGTCCAAGAATAATACAAGAAGAAGGTATCCAAAGGCAATCGTTTTAAATCAAGGCAGTGAAAAGGTGCCTTTTTTTTTGAGACCGTATGAAACTACTGTAGTCATTTTGCTGAGGCAAACTATGTACTAGATTGTGTCATCAAGTGTTGTTTCTCATTGTTATATTACCTTTCTTGTGCCACTTTTGATTATTTAATTAAACCAACTACATTTTGTTACGGAACTTTGAATTGGCCATTTATTGTACCTATTTCTTTGTCAGATTTTTATTTATTTATTTATTTTATCTTTTTTGTCCTTTTACAGGTGGTAATGTGGATTACCCAGCTTTTTGAGTTACCATGGTATATAGATAACTGGGGTCAGTAATTTTTTTTTCTTTTTATTCATCAAGAATGCTTTAAATTGATCAAAAGCCACAGTAAAGACTTTCACAATGTTACAAAAAATCCATTAAAAAGTTATTCTTTTCATCAAAGAATTATGAAAAAATATATATCACAGTTTCCAGAAAAATATTAAGCAACACAACTGTTTTTAACATTAGTAATAAGAAATTGTTTTTTTAGCACCAAATCAGCATATTAGAATGATTTCTGAAGGATTATGTGACATTGAAGACTGGCGTAATGGCTGTTACAAATCAGCTTTGTCATCCAGGAATAAATTACATTAAAAAAATTAATAAAAATCTTACCGAACCCAAACTTTTGAACAGTAGTGTATGTATGTGGTATTATAAATACATCTGTTTTCTGTGTTTTAGTAAGGGTGGTTTCTCTGAGCTTGGTATGAGTCATCATAAAGCGTCCAGATATGTTTCAAATGTCAAAAATTGGTCTTGGACAGCGTAATATCATCTAACCCACTAGATGGCATTCACACCCAAACTAGTAATTTCATACCTCCTCAGAGAGCGTCTTTTTAAATTGTTCCGGTTGACACAAAGTTCTGTTGTAGTTTGTGAAATATTATCACGATTATTTAATTTGGGAATAAGCCGAAAACTATAACACTGAGAGAGAAAAAATAAAAGCAGAGACTTATTAATGCTGTAATAAATCAAAAGATGTTATTCTCCAGGCTTTGAGGGAAGGCCGTGGTGACGTATATGGCTGTGCTTTCTTCTGATTGGCTGAAAGTTATGTTGGGCACGTCCACTATAAAAAGTGAATTTACCAAACGGATTGTTTTACAGTCCATTCTCAAAGTGTTTGTACGCTAATCTGCTCCAGCATGCGTTTTATTTAGGATCAGTGATCTTTAATTTTTTTTTTTTATGTTTTCGTATTAGTTTTTGACTTGAATACCATATAACGTTAGTAGTAAACATCTTCTTTGCGAACACATTTGTACATATTCAGTCAGAATGTCTCATAGCTGTCGTCTGCTTTGTGGTTTTTTAATGAGCTGCATCGGCTGGACTGGTATTATAATAGCGACCTCAACAAACGACTGGGTGGTGACCTGTAAGTACGGCATGCACACCTGCAGGAAGATGGATGAGCTGGAGACCAAGGGCTTGTGGACAGAGTGTGTCATCTCTACTGCTCTCTATCACTGCATCTCACTCAACCAGATCCTCGATATACCAGGTGAGAAATATGTTCATGTTTTAGTAAAAATCATTATTTTATTTGTATGCATACTTTTTTCTTTTCATTTATGGAATTAAATCAAATTTTTTTTAAATACTTTTTTAAATCACATAATATCCACCTGGGACGCAGGCATAGAGAGATTTAGTGAATTTCTCTGAGACCCTACATGCCACAGTCTGGATGTCCTGTACAAAGCACATTCAGGGCTTTTTAGAGATATCAAATGTTTGCATTTTTGGAGATAAACAAATAAACACTCCCTCTCCTTGGTCTTTAAATATGACTGATATTGACAGAATGATCACATTTAGCACTCTTATGGAAATATGATAATGTTTTGTAGTTATCTTTTAAATCTGGCTCATTTTCTAATTGTTTGTCGTAAATAAACATTTCAGAAAAAAATGTTATGGGGTTTCAAATCGGAATGTGACTTTTTGTTATGAAACAGGGCATCATTTTCATACATGTCTTCTGCAGAGGACACCAGGACAAACGGCATGTTAATCAGGCATTTTGGGGAGACATAACAAGTCAATAGGGAAAGAAATTATAGATTAATATTCCTATGAAATATGAGATATTCTTATGAAAATGTTGCCAAGTTATTACTCCCATTATAACACTTATTTTTTCATTATGGTTTGCCCAAGAACACATTTATATGCAAATTAGATGCAATGTATAAATACATTGTATAGAATGGGAATACCAATATATGGACATTTAAAAAAAATAATGTACGCACATATTCCATAAAGTACAGTAGTATATCAAATCATTCTGTTATATATTTCATAACATAGCATGAAACCTAAAAACTGATTGGTGAATGAAAAAATACAAATATATAAGTATATATGCCTTTTAATGTTTTTTTTTTTTTTTAATAACTTAGTCCTGGCATCCCTTACAAAGGACATAGAATCATATATGAATCAAATATATGTTTTTTTGTCCATTTGTTTCTTATGCTCCAACCAATGTAATGACATAAAAAAAATTCACAAAACCTTTTTTTTCTGATTCTCAGGAGGATATTATTTTAACATAATTTTATTTATGTTGAATAGTTATAACGCAGGAATTATTAAAACGTAATTTAAGTATATATATATACATGTCCTATTTATAATATATATTCGCTTTTTTGTGCAAATGATGGGTTGTCAGGGAAGCTGAATGCATTTGTTGTTTTTGTTTGAAGCTTACATCCAGACGTCGCGTGCTCTGATGGTCTCCGCCTCTCTGCTCGGACTGCCCGCTCTGGCGCTCGTGCTGCTGGCGATGCCGTGCGTCAAACTGAGCCAAGAGAGCGAAGACACCAAACACAGACGCGCAGTCCTGGGAGGACTTCTTATACTGTTCATATGTGAGTTATTGCTGTGTGAAATATATTAGGGTCAATCTCAGAAAAGGGTGTCATTTGGAAATGGAAACAAATTCCACAAAATGGAAATTTCAACGGTAATTTCTTAAAGGGATAGTTCACCCCAAAATTAAAACACTGTCATTTATTCACCCAAATGTTGTTCCAAAATCTGTTCACTTTCTTTGTTTTAAAACTCGAAAGGCGTTTTCCCAGATAGCACACATACGTCTGCAAGATGTCTGTTAAAGATCACTGCATCTGGAAAGCATCTGCTGTGAACAAACATCTGATAGACATCTTTCAAACGTCAGTTTTACATACATTCTAAATCATAAACATCTTAAAGACATTTTCTAAACTTGACATCTGATAGGAAATGTCCTATAGACCAATTATCGGTTTGTAAACATTCGGGATGCACGCGCATCATGGTTGCAGAAAACCCGGGAGAGATAGCCTTTACAGCTAGAGAATTTCACGGATACGGTACAAAATAGTTAGGTTTAAAAAGATTATAAATTATATTGATTAGATGTCATTTTCAAAATGTTCTACGCATATTACAAGAGCTTGTCACCCAGCGATAAGCACTGTTATTCAACGAAATTGACGTTAGAGAATGGGATAGTCTTACAGATCCGAAACAGGGATGA